CTACATGCTTACTAAGTGGTCAAGTACTCTTTTAGATTCTCATTGGAAAAAATGGGAAAGTGATGTACTCATGGTGGCCTAATATTTAGGTTTACATGGTAGCTGCCAACATTAAAAAACAAAACAAGACAAAAACAAAAACCCCAAGGTGACTTCAAAAACCAGGTTTCGGTATTCTCTCGAAAAATGAGCTGGCCAAAGCGAGCTTTCATGATCTCATAACAATAAGTAGCTCAAGCCAAATACTGGCTACCCTCTTATTCTGGATGAGGTCTTCAGCTTACAACAGCTACCCATTTATCCATTTTGTCCTCCTGATACTAAAACTAAATCCAAGTGTCAGATGCTATCATGCTTTTCTGTTTTTCTTAGGCTGCGTTGCTCCATTCATGACTTGCGTGCCTGCCTGTGTATCAGACTGTTATCTCTGCTGTAAAATCTAGCCTTTTTATAAATTCTTACCCATTTCATCCAATTTCTCCATGTCCCGGATAATCTGTTTGGGATCCTTCATCTTCAAAACTGCAGCTCGTACCATCATGCGTTGTTTTTTGTTCTTATAAAAAGGAAAGAGCAGTATGTCAAGACGCTGGACACTCATGAGTTTTTATTTCAATTTGCTCTAAGGATCTATTTAAATTGAAATTGAACTTGATTACTTGTTTCAACCAGAAACATAGCTATGTAATTTTTTACTCTTAAAAAATGTTTCAACTTTAGACAAAAAAGGTAAATAAATGTTATTTACTAAGTGTGGTGAGGCAAGTATTTGTGAGATCTAAAGCAGTTACTAAAAAATATTTGTGTTTTTTTAAACAACGGTTTCAGCTCCATTCTAAAATTATATATTAAACTTTTAAAAAAAAGATTTTATTGAGGAATTGGGGGAGAGGAACAGTGTTGGGGAATTGGGGAAGGGGAACGGCCAAGTTGTTCTCCTTTAATCTTAGTTGTGGAGGGCGCAGCTAGCTCAGCTCCAAGTCCAGTCGCGCCACTCAGCTCAAGGTGGTGTGTTCAATTAGTTGCGGTGGGCGCAGCCACCATCCTATGCGGGAGTTGAACCAGCAGCCTTGTTGTTAAGAGCGCACGCTCTATCCACTGAGCCACCCAGGCAGCAGCTTAGCTCAAGGTGCTAAGTTCAGTCTTTAGTTGTGGGTGGGCATAGCCCACAATCTCCAACAAGGCAACCTTGTTGTTAGGGAACATGCTCTCACCAGCTGAGCCATCCTGCCACCTGTTGGCAGCTCAGCAGCCGCTCAGCTCAGGTGCAGCTCACTGGCCCATGTAGGAACTGAACCAGTGACCCTGTTGCTCAGAGCTCACACTCTTGAGCAAGCTCTTAACCAACTAAGCCACTCAGCCAGCAGCAAACTTTTAAAGGATTTAATGCTAAACAGTGTAACAAGAATACATTGGAAACAATTTAAATTGGAAACAACTTAAAATCTGAGTTTTCTTAATGTGATACTAAAAAGTAAATCCTTTCTTATTCTGGGGAAACACTTTGTCACAAACTCAACAGCTACATAACCAGGAAAATGAATGCACAAAGCTACTTAGTATCACATTTATTTACAGGCACTAATTCAGTAGCTTTTAACAAAGCAGTACGTTTTAATAACTAACAAAAAAGAATTACTTTCAAAAGTATTTACTTAACTCACTGGGAAAGGTATTCAAATTAATGTTACAATAACCCATCATGAGCATATAGGAAGGTTATTTAGTTTTGTTTCCACGTACAAATGGTCCCAGACTTTCCAATATTCGACATACAGTTTTTTTTCTGACCTTATGATGGTGCCAAACCCTTTTGCATTCAGTAGAAACTGTACTTCAAATTTTGATCTTTTCCTGGACTAGTCATGAAGTATGATATTCTTTCATGATGAAGGGCAGTGACAGTGAGATGATTTTGCCTAAATGTCAGTGCTCTGAGTAGGTTTAAGGTATGCCAGCCTAAGCTATGATATTTGGTAGGCTAGGTGTATTAAACACATTTTTGACTTAAGATATTTTCAGCTTACAATGGGATTTTTGGGCCATAACCCCATTGTAAGTCAAGGAGTATCTATATAGTACTTTGGTTTAGTAGATTTTATGGTTTTGGTAAGTAATTGGAAATATTACTTGGAAACCCACAAATCCCAAATGTAAGATGTGCCAAACAATACTTAATAGCTACTTTGATGCATCTGAAACCATACCTTCTTTAGTTCTCTCTTCCGGGCTTCTTTTCCTAGAGAGAGAGAGAAAGAGAGAAAGAGAGAGAAAATAAAACTTTCAAATCTTGAACAACATTATTATGGCATTTCCTCAATTTAATCCAGACAATTCTTATTGTGGGAGGCTGTCCTGTGCACTGTAGGACATTGAGCAGCATCCCTGGCCTCTACCTACTAGATGCTAGTAGCACCCTTCTAATTTTGTCAACCAAAAATGTCTCAAGAAATTTTAAGTTTCTTAAAAAAGAACTAGAAAAATGATGAAAAAAATGTCATAAAATACTAAAGAGCTTGCAGAACTAATTTATTCAATATTTGAAATACAAAAGAAAGCTTCAAGCCAATTCTACTTTGCAAATCCATCAAATTAGAAATTTTTTTTGCATGTTTAAAGTTTTAATCATGTGCCCACAAGCTCACTGTATGACTTTATACAACCAACTCCTAGCACTGTTAATCTTGTAATTAGTCCATCCTGAAATAGATTTCCTAACGCTTGCAATTTTTACCACTCCTCTTCTTCATCATTCCACATTCATGGATACTTACGGGCTTGGTCTGTGGGATTCATAAATTTCCCACTCTTGGTGGATGATGTAGATCTCCGTCCCATGTTGACAATCTGTATGGTTCACTTGATCATTAAAAAAGAAACCAATCAAAAGCTGCATCAAAGTAAGAATGTCCAAGCCTGTAGAAAATTTGTATGAGTTTATTAGAGTTTATCTGAGCCAAACTGATGACCTGCCTGGCATCAAGATCTCGAAAATGCTCTGGAGAAGGACAGTTTTGCAGTCCCTTTTATACTTTAGAATTAAGGATGGACCCTAAGGAAGATTACAATGAGGTGGGAGAAAGGAAGGCAGGGAAATTTCTATACCTGAATTACAGGACAGTTAACAAGATTATGTGCTCCCCTGAGGGTCATTATGCCTCTGAGGGGTCTAAAAAAAGATCAATTTCAAAAGTATGTTAACCTAGATGCATGGAAACAATGGGCAGGGCTTGCTTACCACAAAGATAAACGTTTTACTAGGGACGTTACAGGCTCGAGGTAAAATTTTTAGTAGACCATACAATTATACCTTTCCTTCTTACTGAAGATGTTATCAGACAAGTTTATTATTAGTTAATGTCCCTTTCAGCAAGTGTTCAGTTGCCTTGACTTTTGCTAAATGCTTCAAAGCTGTTCCAATGGCAACTAATTTACCCTGCCAAGGGTTTCCGTCTTATAAAAACTGGGAGTGGGGCAGAAGAGAGGCCGGAGCACACAAGCGCTCCTATCTTTGATGGCCCGCGCATCTTTTTTGCTTTCCTCTCTCAATTACCCTCAGGCTCTTGTGTTGACCCGCCTTCCCCAAACTGAAACTGAATGCCAATTACAGACAATTTTTACAGGAGAAACTGGGGCCTTCCTTGGTCTGCGCAAACTACTATTTTGTCTTGAAGCAGAAGCGAATAGGGAAATCGAGGCACAAAACCGTGGGGGTGGGGAGCTCTAGATAGCCAAAGAAGCTCCGATGGGCCGGGGCCCAGATCCACCAGAGGCAACAGCAGCAGCAACTGCCGAAACCACAGCGACGGTTGAACCGGACTGAATCCCCAACATCAAACCTAAGGCTAAGGCTATCTACCGGTCAACGTGCACCGACCGGAGGCGGCGCTCACCGACCCGGGCGAGTCAGCGGCTTCACCGCGCTGCTCGCCGCTCCGCCCCAGGCTCGGGGATCCTCCAGGCCGCTCCCCGGGAGACCCCAACCGCGGAGAGGAAAAACGGGGCAGAGAGGCCTTGTGTCCCCGAGGCAACCGCGCGTGCCCCAGGAAGGAACGGGGAAGATGAAGGATCCGATTGGCACAGTCCTGCACACTCACACTTCTGCTGGGCTCTGGGACTTCAAGAAGCGGGGAGGGGACGACTTTCGGTCTCTTTTACTTGGTAGGGGCCTTCACCTCTGCCTCCCGGTCAGCTACCCAGCAACCGCCATCTTGAAACCTCGCGCCCCTCCGCCATTCCTACGTCACTTCCTAGCCCTGTGGGCCGACGACCTCAGGGTTTCTCCGTCCTGGAACCATCGAAAGCAATCAAGAACTCCCGGTCTTTTCCGCTCCAATACAGGACCGAATTGGTTGGGGATCGCCTAAGAGCCCGCCCTCATGACGCAGAACGTTGATTGACACCTCTGTCGGCCAATGGAAATAAAATGAAGCCGCTCGGATATAAGATCGGCTCCTGGGAGCGCGGCATTCTGACCGAATTTCCGGAAGCTTCGTTTATTGCGCTGCGCGACACCGGCGGGTACGAGGTGGGAGGTGTGTTGCGCTCTTTCGGCCTCCTGGAATTGTGTTAGTTCTGGGACTTTTTTTTTTCTTCTTTTCTTTTTCATGACGTAGCTAGTGCGATCTTTTGGGAGTGTGTTTGAAAAGGAACCTCCAAATAATACTTGCTACTGTGTCTGCACTTTGCTAGCGTCCTGACTGAAAGTTCAGTTTATAGGCACACAGCGCATTGGTAGACCTGAGCAAATCAGTACCCATATTACAATCCCAGACTGCTAATCTACAGTTTTTTTGAAAAGGAAATGTGGGGATACATGTGCTGCCCGTTTTAAATTTACGACGAGCGAGGTTCTATTGGCTTCTGGTCTTTTCACCAGCCAAAAATTCTCTATGATATCACTGTACGTACGGGATTATGCCCTTAGCTCCAGTCTTCGACCTTTTTTTCTATCCCCTTTCTCTAAGACACATCCCGTCTTTTTCACGTTGAAGGTAATTTTTAATATTTTAAAATTCTATTCTAAAAGGACATGCTTTTATTTCCAACCTTAATCCGAATATCCCTTATAAGAAAATATGTTAAATATGGGCCCATTCTTACTATCAATTATAAATACGCCAAAATACTGATGGAGATGCATAGTAACTTTTAGCAGAATATTTAAATATGCACTTAACCGTAGATTTGTCCCTTACTTAAACTAACCTTTGTCTTAGGAGAGTCTTGATTTGGTTTTAGACTGAATTTTGAGTCCCAGAAAGAACAATAAAAACATTTTGTAGTTTAAAGCTTATAAATCAAGTAATAACAAAAAAGTTTAGGTTTGCAGGTGAACTAAATTGTGATGTTTTGCAATGAATTTTAAAAAGTAATGATAGAAGAGAAAGAAAATTATTACATTTGAAACAGTATTGCATGTAGGTTTTAATTTTTAAGATAATGCTGATATTTTCAAATTTCAAGAATAACAAACATATTCTTGCATCAACAGCTTACTAAGGGTTTTATAAGTAGAATGTAAGAGCCTCAATAGGAGTTAAAAGTTGGCGCAGGATTTAGGAAATGAACACTTGCATCTGCAGAAATTCAACTGAATCGTTAGGCCTCCATAGCCTCTGGATTTTCCTGAAAGTAGGTAGTTAATGAAATGGGTCATCTAAAGCTTTATATACAACGACGGATTCCCCCTTTCTGCTAGTTTTGAAAATGAAATTTCTTTTTTGTGAAAATTCATAAAGTAATAAATTATGACTTTCCTCTAAATGACAGTTTCTTAAAAGAGTAGCTACTTCCTCTCCTGTATCCTAGATGCATTTTATGATGTACAGCTGGGATTTGCTTTGTTTTTTTAAATGTTCCAGAGTGTTCAAACAGTCACTTGAGGGATATTTAATCATCACAGTACAGTTGGTCAGGTTGATTGCAATTATAGAAACAAAACCTTTATCTTTTTAGTTTTAAGTTTTATCTTTTAAAAATCCATCCAAATTATAGTGTATAATTAGTAGAAGTTTCCAGAACCATTGCCTCCTTTTATCGTTGAAGTAGATTGTTACAAGCCATATTTCAGTCTCTTCCAGTTTACTGAAAGTTGGATTTAAACTGATGGTCAAAATTATGGTAGTATTTCTATGCCTTTAGAAGGCCCGTGGTTTGGTCCAGGCAGAAGTTACTAAGTATGTCCCTCTAGAACTAAATGATGTCTGAAGTAGAAATGAAAATTTCTGCATTCAATGTAAATTTTAAGGATTTTGACTGGGAATTAGAAAAGGAAAAGGTAACCCCTACACCTGCTGCTTTGTAATATCATTTACCCTGATGTTGATCTGGTAGAGCAGAGTGAGAAGACATCCTGGGATATAATCTATCTCACAGGATCTATCTAACACCAACTGATCCAGGCATTCAATGTTGACGCAAAACTCTAGAGTCATCTAATTTTAGCATCTCTAATTCCTCTTTCCGATTTGTTTACCGTACTTATGTCTATATTGGGAGCATATGGAAAATGAACCTAATCAACGAAACAAAACACTATTATTGAGAGAGAAGCAGAAAATATTCCAGTGGCAAATAAAGCGGCAATTTATTTCATTTGGTGTTCCACTGCATTGGTGACCTCAGTAATGGCATGACGATATTTTTCCGAGGCTGACTTGAATTCCACCAGATGCTTTTCATAACTTTTGATGGCTGCTTGAAGCTGCGTTTTCTCCACTGCTCCCAGGATGGCACGGAATATCATATCTACGCCAAGGCCAAGAACAGCCACTCCTATACTACCAAGGAGAGAAGCACCAATTTGAGCTAACACAGTGACCAGCTTGTTAATTATGCCACTTGTGACATTTGAGCCCACAAGTTTAACAGCCACCGCACTGGCTGCAGAAGTAGCTTCTTCCAGGATGACTGAAATAACCTTTTGTACTATTGCAATTTTCTCTGTTTCCCTTTCTTTAATATCCTGAAGTTTTCTATAAAGGGTTGGCTCTAGTTTATCTTTGAGTGCCTCGTCAACCTTTTGCAATTCCTTTTGGATTTTTATCACAGCTTGGATGATGATATCACAGTTTTCTTTGATGGTCCCATCTCTTTTCATCTCAATGGCGGCGAGCCTGCACCCCAAATGCATATTTAAAACCCCAATCAGCTTGTTGGTGGCATGGAAGCTGTCAGATAAGCAGTCAAGGAGCTGCTGGTGAAGATGGTTTACTTCTTCCCGCCTCCTTGGGTTCTCTGGGTAGAGGAGGTCACTGTGAGCCATATTTCAGATGTGATCTCTGAAAAATAAAATGGTAAATTTTCACTGAAAATCTTGAAAAATGTCTTCTGTCTACTTAGATTTGACCAGGAAATCTTTTACTTTGTGACTACCTGCAATATGCTATGTAAGGAATTCCTTAGAAAACTCAACGGGTTCTTCAAAACCATTATATTTTTATGAAACTTGGAATCAGTGTATGGAAGTGTGGGTAACAGAATATAACCTATTGATGCATTAATTAAGGCATTACATTTTTTGTGGTGGGGAAGTCCTAGATAGGAAATACTTGTGTTTACCCAGCATCTGATTATTAATAAATAAACGTGATTATTTCCAAGTAATGTTTAATATTTGAAACAGTACAGTTTGAAATGGTGAGCTCTTGATAACCAGTGCTCCTCTATTTCTCCAACTTCTGGTCACCACATTGCAAAGATCTGCCAGATTGATTTCTCTGATATTTGGAGTTAAGTTAGTAGGGCCAGGAGAATATTAAGATCTCTGAGGGCTGGCTGAGTGGCTCAGTTGGTTAAGAGCTCACGCAAGAGTGTTAAGAGCTCACGCAAGAGTGTTAAGAGCTCACGCAAGAGTGTGAGCTCTGAGCAACAGTGGTTCGAGTCCTGGCCTGAGCTGAGCTGCCAACAGGTGGCAGGATGGCTCAGCTAAAAAAGAAAAGAAAAAGATCTCTGAGTTTACAGGGCTATTTATATATAATTTTGTTTGTATACTCTATTCATTTACAATACTCAAATCACTATATCTTTACAGGCAAGTTGTTCTCTAAACCTAAGGGACATTGAAATGCGAATATAACAATAGAATCTTTACAAAAAATCCTTGTGATGAGAGTATACAGTAAAGATTTCTTTGATTAAAATCTCACTTGAGAAAGTGGGCATGGTGCAGGAGGCAGAGCAGTTATGACTATCTCTCTGATTCTCCATTTTCAAAATTTATAAATGGTCTGTATTGCACTTGGCCATCATTAAGATAAGTTAGAGTTAGCCTCGGAAAGAAGATAATGCCATTTCACAAAAGTATTAAGGAATAATTAGCAAGAGCACACCATAGAATGAATAAAATAAGCCTGGTAGGAGCCTTCTTGAGTTCACAGAGTACCATGCAGAAAAAAAAGGAATAAGCATGTTGTTTTGAGTTTATTTGGGTGAAAGTTTGAGCCCAGTAAGAACAATGTTACTCAATATGCTTACCTTTAGTAGGCTTACTATGTGCCTGGCACTTTTATTTGCCTTTAAACCCTTGGGAGAGAAGAAAGAGAAAATGGAGTGAGTTCTCTGTATCTGTGTGGGATCTGGCCCATTCTCTCTTTGAGTAAGCAATATCTTGATTAATTTGGGCCCTATCTAAGGACTATGGTTCCTAACCTAGATATGGGGAACCTGAGAAGCATGGGATGAAGGAGTGAAGGTGTTTTTCTCTCAAGAAAGTAAACATGAAAATAATCTATCCTCCAAGTCAGAAAGATATAATTTGGGAATGAAGAGGGGAACATTTTAAAAAATGGATTAGGAAAATGATCATTTATGATGTTTAATTTAGAAAAATGCACTGGTACTCCTGGTGGAATAAACTTTATCATAGTCGGAAATTCATTTTTATCTTTGATTTAGATCCAGTACACACACACACACACACACACACACACACACACACACACACACACACGAGCGCGCGCGCGCAAGTGCGCGCCCACACGACACAAATTTCGCTAAGACAGTACTTAGAAAAATATCTCAATTCTATATAAAGAATTGTTTGTTGAGAGTCTATTAAATATTTACCAAAATCATCATTGGGTTGCAAGCTGCCATTTGATAACCACAAATTTGGACTTGGATGTCTCTTTTTTCTTTTAGGAATTTTCCATTAAACTTTTTTTCTTTATTTGGCTCCTAGTTTTCAGATCTTACCGTGAAATGAAAACTACAGTTTCTGACTCAATTCAGAAGATCACCAACTACATCCCTATTCAGATATTTAGGTAAGAGGAGTCTTTCTTACTTTGAAAAAGTGGAATATATTTCTTGTAGCTATCATATGCTATTATCTGAAGGCATCACAAATGAGCCTTCTTCCTGGATGGGAGGTTGAATGCTTTCAAGTGATCAGTTTCTTCCCAATTAATTTATTGTTTAAACATAGCTTTGTCAAGCTGTGTTAAAATCATAAAATATGTCTGGAAGACTGAACAGGTGAGACTACTTGTTTTCAGGATAAGTAATGATGGGACTTTTTCCTCCTCAAATATTAAAACACTATAAAAACACAATATTAACCACTAGTGTACAGGTGGAAGAGTAGATGGAATTGTGGAACAAAAGTCTCCCAAGCAGATCCTTCTATACATTTGATTTACTATGTAATGTAGAATCTCAAATTGATGGAAATTGACATTATGATCCCATAAATAATCCTGGCATAATGGCATAAAGTTTGTGGGGTTAAAAGTTAATTTAAAATGTTATCAGCATAATATATGTAAAAAAATCAACTAAAAGCTAGAAGAAAATGTATCATTTTCAAATGTTTATATAAAAACCAATGGAAAAAAAGTCACAGAAAAATTTGACTAACAAAAATGACCATGTAAAAAGAACTAAAAACAAATTGGGAAAAATTTAAGAAAAATGAAGAAGTATGAATTTCTAAAGATTTGTTATTAATAAGGAAAACAGTAATCTAATAGCTAAATGAGCAAACAACTCTGAACAGACAGTGAAAGAAGAAATAGTAGCTAATTGATGAAAAAAATTTAATCTTAGCAGAAATCAAAACACAGTACTTTTTAAACTGCAAGAGTAATATTTTCTTTCTTTACATATCAAGCCCTTGCACATACACTGTTATACCCAGATGATCCGGACATCAGTCCATAATTTGTGCCAATAGTAACTTTGAGTAGGATACATCATGATGTGCTCAGAATTATTTTTCAGATCTAATGAAAAAGGACTTCTATTTTCTGAATCAGGCTTACCTTCCTAGCTCTTTTCCTTGGGGCAGGGTATTACGAGGGTTCCTTATGCAAACATCTTCAGCAGGCCTGCCACCATACCTGCTCCAGTACTGAATACAGTTCAAGATTGTTTCTATCCCAACAGTGAGATAGATGCTGGAGAATGTGGCAGAGGAAGGTAGGGTTTTAAGGTGAAACTAATGAATTATTTCTTGGACAAGTGAAATTTGAAGAGCCTGGTGAAAGAAGCAATTTAATAATTCAGTAACAATTTATCTAATGGAGTAGTAGTGCGTGTTTTGCAATGTATAAGGTAGTATGATGGGCTCTGTAGAGCACACAAAAATGATAAAGACATTGTCCTTGCTTTCATGGTATTTCTAATCTAGTTAAGAAGTTAAGACATTTAAAATTACATGTCAAATAGAAAGTACTATGTCATTCAAAATCACAGGGGTGATGCTTGATTTGTGCAAATTCAAATTTTAAACAGCCCACACTTTAATATATATTGACACTGGGTCCATATGGAGACATTCAGTCATCCAGGGAGGGTTAATAATTTGCACCCTTTCAATTTGTTACTCTTAAATATGTGCTTGATATTTAGACATGAGATTATACACCACATGGAAAACTATTGTTGGTAATGTGCAGCCTCTCCATCATTGCCCATGACAATTTACTTCTGACTCTCAAATTGCTAACTTCATTCAGCAAAATGAAACTCTTTCAATTAATCAGAGTCACCCTTCTTTTTTTTTTTTAGCTGAGCCATCCTGCCACCTGTTGGCAGCTCAGCTTGGGCCAGGACTCGAACCGCTGTTGCTCAGAGCTCAAACTCTTGAGCAAGCTCTTAACCAACTGAGCCACTCAGCCGGCCCTCAGAGTCACCCTTCTTAAAGACTCTAGTTGTTACTTAGGCATGCCTAAGTGATATCTTACTACTAATAAACAGAGGGTGCCAAAAAAATGTATACATGTTTTAAGAAAGGAAAACTATTAAAATTGTAATACTTAACATATACCAATAACAAAAGATGAATACAAGTCACATTTGACCTCTGTAATTACAAGAGGTGCTCAAAGTGGTTACCATCAGCGTCCAGACACTTCTGATTATGGCGCACTACTGCTTGAGCGACGTTGACCAGTGTCCACTTGTATCCATTTTTTTTTTTTGCACCCCTTGTATAGTACTGTACCTAAAAGGAGTTCTGGACCATATACTTTTTCTATCTTGTTAAATTTTCTGGGATAACCTTTTAAATAATGACTTTAAATTCAATCTTTAAAAAATCCTGTTAAAGTCATTTTAAAAATGACTTTTCAAGATTGGCACCAGCAGGTTGCTAAGTGGTCTACTTAATCCAATTCTGATTACCCACACCTTTTGTATGGTAAATGTGAACTGTTACATTATTTGCTTTCACATGATAGTATTCCGTGTCAGTGTAAATTCACCCTGGGACGTTACCATCCACTTCTGTACAGCAGAGTTTGTGCTGTTACTTGTGTATTTTATTGTAGTGGCTCATTGAAATAGATTCTGGAGTCCTGGGGCAGCCTGATGGGGATTTCTAGCCAGCAGGGGGAGCGCTTGGTCTCTGGCACGCCTATTTCATCTCAGCCTATGCCAAAGCAGCAGTGTGCTTTCTTGTGTTACTGTGCAGTGTTTGGGTCTGTGGGCGGCTCAAGTTTGATGAGTGTTCTGTGGCTAAAACAGTTTGGAAATCATAATGTATTTTATCATTTCATAAAAAAGTAAACACATTTGGAGACTAGCTTCAGATGGATTCTTATTGAATCCATGGCAATTTTGTTGAGAAGTAAACATTCAAGATTAAAGAGCATATTAGAAAGGGCAGACATATATTGATGATTGTATCTAAAAGTTGTTTATTTAGTGATACTAACAGTTGTTTTAATTTTTCAGGAAAGGAACTACCTTACAAAATGAAAATGTATGGGTTATCAAATATTCAAATGAAAAATCCTCAGGATACTTTTGTGAATAATAGTAGTGCATTGACTGTCAAGTGCTATAGAAATTTAAAGAGAGAAATGAATATTGAGGTGATTTGTGGAAGCTTCATGGACAAAGTGACATGTGATATGTGCCTTGGCAGATGGTAGAATTATAACATGAAATTAAAAGTAAAAGATTTGATAAAGTATTTTA